ATAAGTCAGGTTTCGATGACTAAACCCGTTTAGGTTTCAAGGCGATGTGGCAACTTAAACTGTTGATGCCTGAAGCCCCTGAACCCCAGCCCCCAGCCCGGCACGCCATAGTTCTACTGGAAGGTTTATTTATCAAAGGTTTACATGCACCTCTTAGGATGTGCCCCCTTATATTCACAGTCCTGAATAAGGATTTTAATAGGGGGCACTACAATCCCTATTAAGGACTTTAGTATAAGGAGGGGGGACATCCCATGGTACCTCAAGTAAGGTCATGCTTGCCAACTTACAGCCTTGCGTTTGCTTGCCGTGAACCTTCAAGCACACTAAACGTTAAAACCCTTACATAAACCCTAAGCCCCTAACCAACCCCTCCTCCCTTCTCAACAACCACCAAACCCCCAAACCTAAAACCTTAACCTCCTGACCCCCAACCCCCCCCCCCCCCTATCAAATCGTTGAAAACCCATGAATTCCCTCGGGCCCCTGCTGAGATCTGCCCTAAATCCTAAACCCTTAACCCTTAAACCTTAACCCTTAACCCTTAACCCTGAACCGCATTTTCAAGTAGCGCCCGGCACAGCTCTCCTTCCCGAGGCCGCCGTGGAGGAGGCACCGCCAACTGAGGGGGTTTAGGGTTTAGGGTTTAGGGCTTAGGGCTTAGGGCTTAGGGTTTAGGGTTTAGGGTTTAGGGTGCTCAGGTCTTTTGGCTTGAAACTTAAAGCTTGAAGCTAGTGTTATTGGCCTTATAGGCGTTATTGGCTTTGTAGGGACAGCAGGCGGGTGGGCGCATTATGACATGGAATCATCACGTTGACAGCCCTGAAAGGGTTTACGGTTCACAGCCTTAACAGAGTATATGACCCCAAGTTTACCGGCGCGGATTTTCTGACTCTGCTTATTTTCTGACGGTCCTTCTTGACGTCTGCTTCGGTCCGCGCAGATGTCGAGTTGATTTCCCGACTCGCCACGTCGTCAGAACCATTGTATTTAGATCTTTACTGTTTGTGAAACAAGCGATAACAAGCAGACTTCTTCGTAGCCCCACTACGGCCGGGTTTAGGGTCTAGGGTCCCTAAACATAAAACCCTAGACACTAACCTCAGTAGCCCTAGCTAAACCCTACCCTAAACCCTGACCAAAGTAGCCCAAAATGCCCAACATGCCCCTAAACCCTAAACCCTAAACCCTAAACACTAAACCCTAAACCCTAAACCCTAAACCCTGGCAGGCTGCCTTGTTAAGGGAGAACCCGAAGCCTTCTTGGCCGGGATTCGGGTCAGGCCCTTAATGGTTTCATGCACGGGCCCAGGCTATGGAAGGATCAACAAATAGAACAAGCTCTATGTAATGATAGGGTTTAAATTCAGGGCTTAGGGTTTAGTTAGGGTTTAGGTTTTAGGGCTATAGTTATCTATCTTTATATATATATACATATATGTACATGGATCGGTTCTACTTGCTCATCCTTTATATCTTCGTAGCATGTTGACTTCGTTTATTGATTTGCTGATGTATTAGGGCCTCCTTATAAAGAGCCTCACACTTGCGACTTTGGAAGTGGTACTAAACCCTAAACCCAGTTTAGGGTTTAGGGTTTAGGGTTTACCCTGTCAACCCTCCAAGCCCTAGAGACCCTATAAACCCTGAACCCAAAACCCTAAAAACACTACAAACCCGAACTCCAAAACCCAACACCCCCTAAACCCTAAAAAGCTGACTCCGAAACCCCAAACCCTGGAAACCCTGCAAACCCTATAGGCCGTACCACTACACCCTAAACCCTAGAAACCCTATAAAGCCTAAACCCCAAACCCTAGAAAGCGTATAAACCATGTAAACCCTATAATTAAACCGGACTCCTAAACCCTAGAAACCCCAGGAACCCTACCCTGCAACCCTAGAAACCCTAAACGCCCAAAAATCCCTAAACACCCTAAATCCCAAACCCTAAGCCCCTATCCCTGTATATCCGCTGTTAAATTGCAGCTGCTGAAGCAGCTGTTGGGAGAGAATGTTGCCTCGGGCTGCTGTCGCTCACGCAGAGAAGCATGCGTCGCCGCACCAGCCGCCCGCGACTCAGCATGTCTTGGCGTCAGCGGCATGGGCGCCGAAAGAGGAGACCGACACTCTGTATGGCCTGCATCATTTCGAGCTTCGAGTTGTGTGCAACCTGCTGCTGCCAATCCTGAACCATGTGCAGTATATATCTTCATGGACGGCACGGATGCTGGGAAACTGGCGGCGCAGAAAGTGCTGCCCGGTCTTCGGCACCAACTGGACTTGCATCACGTCCTGCGAGCTGTGAAGGAGCTCAAACCTGAAATCGACCCTAAACCCCATAAGCCCTATAAACCTTTAATCCTGAAACCCGAACCCTAAAGCCCAAACCCTGAACCCTACACCCGAAACCGACCCTAAGTCCCAAACCCTAAGTCCGCAACCCTCCCGAAACCGACCCGAATCGCGAAATCCCACGCTCTAAACACTACACCCGAAACCGACCCTAAACCCCTAACCCCTAGACCCTAAACCCTAAACCCTAAACCCCAAACCCTCAACCCTATACACCCTTAACTGAGAGGATGCCCAGCGAGAGCTGAAGCTGCTTGAGGCGTCGGCTTTTTTTGCACCCTAAAGGGTTTAGGGTTTAGGGTTTAGGGTTTAGGGCATCCTCTCAGTTAAAGGGTGTATAGGGTAGGGTTTAGGGTTTAGGGTTTAGGGTTCAGGGTTTAGGGTTTAGGGTTTAGGGTTTAGGGTACAGGGTTCAGGGTATACGTTTCTGGGCAAGCGGCTTTGAGGGTTTTAGGGCGTCAGGGTTTAGGGTGTAGGGTTTAGGGTTTAGGGTTTAGGTTTTCGGGTTAGGGTACAACAGGAACCCGAAGCACGGCATATACTTCCACAACAACGACTGGATCAGCAGAGTAAGCTTCATTGAGCCCTACACCCTAAACCCTGAACCCTGAAGCCCCAAACCCTGAAGGAAGACCCAACATGCCTGGAGCTCAACTATTGCTAGTTTGGGTACTCATTTTTTGAGGGGGGAGGGGGGTGGGGGGGGCTCAGAGCCGAACCCTAAACCCTGAACCCCCAACCTCCAACCCCCAAACCCTAAACCAAAAACCCGGCCACACCCCAGCCTTAAGCCCTAAAACCCCAAACCCTAAACCCTAAACCCTAAACCCTAAACCCTTACAGTTCTTAAGAAGGAAAGCCCTGCAACCCTAATTGACAAACACCAAGGCCCAAACCCCAAACTCGAACTTAACTGCGGTTTAGGGTTTAGGGTTTAGGGTCTAGGGTTTAGGGTGTAGGGTTTAGGGTTTAGGGTGGCAGCTTCAATTGGGAAGGTTCTCGACATAGTTGTACGTCTCAGTATGGTAACCGATACCGTAACCTCAGTTACGGTACGTCTTGCCCTGCTTCTGACTATCAAGGGACTCAAGGAGGGACCCTCAGAAGGGACCTTAGGGCTGATTTAGGTGTTATTTGGGGGTTTTGGGGTGTTTTGGGTGGGTACTTAGGTATATAAGGACTATATATAAGTAGGGGTTATTTAGGGGAATACTACCCATGAACCTTCAAGTAAGGTTGAGGGAGCCCCCACACCTTAAGCGTCGCAGTTTTCGCAGCTCAAGATCACTGTGCTACCCTTGTCTCCCGTCCCCCCCTCCTGCGGCCACGTTGAGTCATGGCAGAAGCTATAGGATTCAGGGTTGAGGGCTTAGGGTCCCTAAACCCTCAGACCCCAGACCCCAAATACCCGAGGCCCTAGAACTCACGACTAGTCAAGAGGGCCGTGCAGTCAGGAAAGGACATGGACCTTCAGCCCACAACCCGTCAGAAGCAAGGACCTATTTGGTTTAGGGTAAGCCCGGCAAGCCCTCAGCCCTAAACCCAAAACTCGAAGCTCCTAGGGTCCCTCAATTAGGATCCTTTAGTAGGCTCGTGGCAGTCTGACAGTCACAGGCTCCATTTTTGGCGGGGCTTGGGATAACCCAAGTTCAGTGTTTACGTTTTAGGGTGTAGGGTGTGGGGACTCGTCTGTTCCGTGGTCCGTTTTGCCATAGGGGTTTGGTGGGGTTCTGGGCTTAGGGTCTAGTGTTTAGGCCTGCTTAGGGTCCTTTTGGCATCTGGGCAGCAAGCTAATTAGGGTTTAAGGTTTAGGGTTTAGGGTTTAGGATAATGTGTTTGTATGGATTTGAGTATCTGAGCTCAGCTTGCAGCTAGTTTCAGTTGATCACGGAAGTACATGTGGGAAGCTTCCTAAACTAGGGTCCCTAAACCTTAAACCCTAAACCCTAAATACAGCGGCACCTTACAATAATGACCCCTAAAGGGGCTCTAATTCAGAGAAAGCACTACCCATGTGCTCATGAAGGAAAAGAGTAAGGCGAGGAACTGGAGGATGTTTGTCGTTAGCGCTCTGTACGGTTCATCTTCCCTCAGACATCAGAGTGGGCCCACAAACCCTAAACCCTAAGCCCTCAACCCCTGTCCTGTACCATTGTTTGCTCGCCTTTCTGTTCCTGCACGAAGGGTAGACCGTGGCTCGTGCAGGGTGCAAGGTTTTTTTACCATGGGATCCCTCTAAGGCCCCCCCCCCCCCTGGCTCCTCGAAGTCTGAGGGTGCTTACACTTGAGGGTTCAGGGTTTAGGGTTTTAGGGTTAAGGGTTTACGGTTTACGGTTTACGGTTTAGGGTTTAGGGTTTAGGGTTTTGGGTTTTGGGTTTTGGGTTTAGGGTTTAGGGTTTAGGCGATCGTACGCGACCACATGCACAGTTGGCTTCGGCACTGGGAGTCACATCGAGAATGAGGGCTCATGGACAGCAAGTCCTCTTCGCGTGAACCGACAGCTGTGAAGCAATATCCCGAAAACCCTAAACCTTAAACCCTAAACCCTAAACCCTAAACCCTGAAGACCCTAAACCCTAAACCCTAAACCCTAAACCCTAAACCCTAAACCCTAAGCCTCATCTCGGCAAGGAGTGGAGCTGACATGGCCCAGGTTGAACAAGCGGAGCTTGCACCTAGACTGCAACAGGCTTTCGAAGGGAGGCTGCAGCTACCCTGTACCAAACCTGCCCTGGGTTTAGGATTTAGGGTTTAGGGTTTAGGATTTAGGATTTAGAGTTTAGGGTTTAGGGTTTACTATTTGCCTAAGAACCCCACATAAAATAGAAAAAACATCTTCCTTATCAGGGCAATGAAGGGAGTGCTTCTTCTTTCTCTTTCTCTTTTTTGTTGGGGGGGGGGGGGGGGGGCGGGGAGATTCTTAAGCAAATAGTAGGAAATCCTGGACCCCAATGCCTCAAGCGAAAATTCAGGTGCTCAGGGTTCCGAGTGAGTTGGGGCTGACAGGTTTGTGGCTTGCTTGAGCTTTCTGCGATTAGGGCTGGTAGGGCTCAGGGTTTAGGGTGCAGGGTTTAGGCTCAGTTCCTAGTACCGCGCCAAGAGACATCTTGCCTGGATCCCTAAACCTAAGCCATAAGCCCTAAATAGGGTTCAGGGTTAAAGGGATACCTAGAATCTTGGGCAGCTTCAAGTGCTGGCTTTATGGTCTAGGGTTTGGGGTTTGGGGTTTGGGGCGGGGTTTAGGGTTTAGGGTTAGGGAAGGGTTCAGTTTCTGATGTAGACCAGAGACGTCTCAAAGAAGGTCTAAACCCCAAACCCTAGACCCTAGACCCTAAATTCTAAACCCTACATGCGAGCTGTTTCCCCTAAAAGGCTTTACACCAATCCAGACATAGATCTTTATGAGCCGATGTAGAGCATGTTTAGGTTTTAGGGTTTAAGGTTTTTACCCTAAACCCTAAACGCTAAACCCTAAACCCTAGAGTTTGGTTTGGGTTCAGGGGCATGCATGTGGAGCCCAACCAAGGCGTTGGGACCTGGTGAATATTCTGGACTGAAAACTTGTAGAGAACCCTACTTGGCAACTACTTATCTAGAGAAGGGTCATGGTAGTGGGGTTTTCAGGGCAACATATCCTGGGGTTCAGGGTTTAGGCAGGGTTTTAGGGTAGGCCCTGGTGACATTTTGCATGTTTTTCTTATTGGGTTTAAGGAGGATTGTTTGTAGCATTTCTCGGAGGGTTTTAAAGGTCCTAGTCATTAAGTCACCCTGGCCCTTCGAACTGTCGCTGCACCCTCAACCCTTCACCTTGAGGCGTTGGTTTAGGGTTTAGGGTTGCGCGTCCTCCACGGAAAAGCTGCCGGGTAGCCCTCCCCCGCGTCTTCAAGGTTTTCGGGGTGTACCGGAGGGTAGGTGGATGGAAAGCCTTCGACTTCTAAAGGGAGCGGAATGCCTCATCCCTGACTCCCCGAAACCCCGAGTTTAGGGTTTAGGGTTTGGGGTTTCGACCCTAAACCCTAAACCCTAAAAGCTACTCCCCTAAACCCTAAACCCTAAACCCTAAACCCTAAACCCTAAACCCTAAACCCTAAACCCTAAGGACGACTTCCCTGAGCCCTCATCCTCTCCTAGGCAGTTCTGAAGCAGAACGCGGAGCCCGGAGTCGTCTTGCAGGCGATCGGGTCCAAGGCTTTAGGGCATCCGGGGTCCCTAAAACAGGGTTTAGGGTTTAGGGTTTGGGGTTTAGGGTTTAGGGTTTAGGGTTTGGGGTTTAGGGTTTAGGGTTTAGGGTTTAGAAAACCCTAAACCCTAAAACCTAAACCCATGCAACCCCTAGAAAGTACCTACGGCAAAGTTGCCGTAAATTCCAAGCCTTAAACGCTGAAACGCTGAAGCCCTAAGCCCTAGCCCTTTACCCTGGACTGGGGTTTAGGTTCCTATACTTGGAGGTTCGTGGTACTTGTTAAAAACCAATTCTGCTTGTACTTCTAACTGGACTAATGACCATATTAGGGCACCTGAGGGGGCCTGTAAGTGGGTTATAAGTACAGTTGTAATTGGTTCTTTTGTACCCTAAACCCTAAACCCTAAACCCTAAACCCTAAACCCTAAACCCTAAACCCTAAACCCTAAATTGCATAATAAGTACCATGAACCTCCAAGTACTTCCTGGATCCCTGGAAGCCACACGCTCCGATACCCTCTTGAGGTTTTAGGGTCTAGGGGTTTAGGAGTTGAGTTTGGGGGTGTGGGGATTTAGGGGGTTTGGGGGGTGTGAGGGTTTAGGATTGAGGGTTGAGGGTTTGGGGTTTAGGGGTTTAGGGGTTTAGCCTTTGGGGGTGTGGGGATTTGGGGGTTTGGGGGTGTGAGGGTTTGAGGGTTTGGGGGTTTTTGGGGGTGCGGGGATTTGGGGAGGTTTGGGAGTTTGGGGGGGTTTGGGGGTTTGACGGGTTTTTGCGTTTCAGGGTTTTTGGGGTGTTGGAGTTTTAGGGTGTTGGGGGTTCAGGCGTTAGCGTGGGGATCAGGGCGTCGCTGGTCCTGCAAACCGGCTCTGTTCCGTTTTCAAGGTACGGCGAGCAAAACCCTAAGCCCAGAACCCTAAATCTTAAAAAACAAGGGGGAGCAGTTGCCCACAGCCATATTCGGATGATGTTCGACTCAAGGTTGCGGCTTTTTTCCAGTTTCAGGCTTGCGGTTTCTCTCGGCTGGAGATTCAAATGGGGGTCACAAGCCCCCCCCCCCCTCTATTTGGAATATGGAATATCAATGAGTAAAGAAAGCGGGGGGTTTGGGGAGGGGGACCCCCCACTGCAAAGGATACAGGGTTTGAAGCAGCTCCTTCCGATGGCATCAGGTTCTTCCTGGCCTCGCAAGGATTAAAGAAAGCAGGGGGGCAGGGCGCAGCCGCCCCATTTGCAAACACAATGCTCGTACGACGGGTTTTTGTCTGGATTCAGGTTTGAAGCCAAGAAGCCGGGAAGCCAAAAAGTCGAGAGGCCATGAGACGCCGAGATGCCAAAAAACCAAGCCGACAAGCCGGGAAGCCGCGGCGAAATCCCCTGAGCATGGCCGCAATTTTAGCTTGTGCATTGCAAATTGAAGAACGGCGCGGAAACTGGGCCGGCCAGCATTTTAACAGGAAAACCACCTCTATATTTTCGAAGGAAAACCACAAACCTCGTATCTCAGCTGGATTCTCTCTACATGTCATTCGGAACGCCTCTATGTTCTTTCTTACGGAGAAGCCTCTATGTTTGTTTTGGTCATCGGGTTTCGGCTTTTGGCTTTCACGCTTCTGCGTGAAATAGCGGTGCACCCAGAATGAGCGATCCCCCAACACCGCGCATGCGCAGTCCAAACGATTCAGGGTTTAGGGTTTAGGGTTTAGGGTTTAGGGTTTAGGGTTTAGGGTTTAGGGTTTAGGGCTTAGGATGATCTGGACCCCACAAGCCCAAGGGCGCGGGCAAACCTCTACCTCTCCCCGTGAAACCAGAAACATCAGCCCTAAACCCGGAACCCTAAACCCTAAACCCTAAACCCGTCCAACACCCTCAACCCAGAGAGGTATGTGCAAAAGTCTGCAAAGATATGCAACTACTGGCCCGGCTGATCCTTGGTGTGATCTTGGTGGAGACTGCTCCTGGGGGGGGGGGGGGAGGTTAGGGTTTGGGGTTTGGGGTTTGGGGTTTGGGGTTTGGGGCTTCGGGCTTAGGGCTTAGGGCTTAGGGCTTAGGGCTTAGGGTTTAGGGTTTAGGGTTTAGGGTTTAGGGTTTAGGGTTTAGGGTTTAGGGCTATCCCTAAAACCCAAACCATCCAAAACCCCAAGCCCCAAACCCTGAAGCGCTTCAGGCTTTAGGGTTTTGGGGCTTCCAGGGTTTAAGGTTACTGCTTAAGGGAGGCCCGGGACGCCCAGGACACAGGTTTCGGGTTTAGGGTTTTAGGGCTTTAGGGTTTTAGGGCTTTAGGGCTTTAGGGCTTTAGGGCTTCAGGGTTTTAGGGTTTTAGGGTTTTAGGGTTTTAGGGTTTTAGGGTTCAGAGGGCGTGGTTCCCCCACAGGACCAATGCAACTGGATTTGGGCGTTCAGGGTACCAAGGACACAGAGACTCAGAGGTTTGTGCTTGCTCGCTGCTGTCTGTCGTTTTTTGACCTTCGAAAGCCTTACTTAGGGTGCAGGTTGCAGGGTTTAGGGTTTAGGGTTTAGGGTTTAGGGTTTAGGGTTTAGGGTTTAGGGTTTAGGGTTTAGGGATTTTTACTCCTACGCCCGCAAGTGGCCACGGATCTTTGACTTCCTCAAGTCGAAACCTTAACTTTCGCAGCCCAAAAGCTCTGCAGCTTCCCAACAGTCTTTTGGAATCCCTACGCCTGGGCGTTGAACAAACAAAGCCTTAAACCCTGAATCCTCAACCCTAAGCCCTAAACCCTAAACCCTAAACCCTAAACCCTAAGCCCTAAACCCTAAACCCTAAACCCCACAAGGAGTCAACTCTGCAAGCCTACACGGCAGGCTCCCTGTGGGAAGTTTGCTATTTTGGACCCTGTAAGATTGAGATCCCTAAACCCTAAACCCTAAACCCTAAACCCTAAACCCTGAACCCTGAACCCTGAACCCTGAACCAACCCTGAACCCTGAACCCTGAACCCTGAACCCTGAACCCTGAACCCTGAACCCTGAACCCTGAACCCTGAACCCTGAACCTTGAACCCTGAACCCTGAACCCTGAACCCTGAACCCTGAACCACCACCCCCCCCCCCCCCCCCCCGGTACCCCACCCACACCACCGATATGTTTTCACTACCAGGAGCAGGTTAATTGGGCTTGGGGTTTAGGGTTTAGGGTGTAATACCCCAAAAAACATGGCGGAGGGGCAGGGACGCTAATTTTAGTTTGGTCTATGGTTCACGGGCTTCGAAGGGCCTAAACCCTAAGACCCTAAACCCAAAACCCTAAACCCTAAACCCGTAAGCCGTTTTGTCGGTCTGCTAAGCCGCTGTCAGACGCGCCCATGTGTTAGGGTTCTGAGTTTGCTTCGTCCATTCAGGGGATTTTGGGGAGGGTTTAGGGTTTAGGGTTTAGGGTTCAGGGTTTAGGGTTTAGGGTTTAGGGTTTAGGGTTTAGGGTTTAGAGGTGTTTCAGTAGGGCTACAACCCCTATGCCCTAAACCCTAAACTAACCCTAAGGCCACTTCATTAGACACTCGAGCCTAAACTGTACCTACAAGCATCGGGCGACTGAAAGTAGAGTTAGGTAGAAGTACCCTAAAAGAGACCCTACCTAGGGTTCCAGGCTTAATACTTTCAAACTACTTAAAACGCTAAAAGCCCTAAACCGTAAACCCAAGCCCCTAAACCCTAAACCCTGAACCCTTACTGAGCCCCCTGCTCCTCCAAGCGTATCAAATCCCTGTGAGCCTACGCAGACGCCATGTTAAACCCTAAACCCTATATCCGAAACCCTGAACCCTAAACCCTAAACCCTAAACCCTAAACCCTAAACCCTAAACCCTAAACCCTAAACCCTAAACCCTAAACCCTAAACCCTATGCAGGTCATTTCAGACCCCAACTTCTTGCAAGAGCAATGCGAGCGCCCTTGCTTGGATTCAGGGCTTGGGGGGGCTTTCTAGGGCTCGGGATCCTAAGCCCGGAGCTGCGGTTTAGGGTTTAGGGTTTAGGGTTTAGGGTTTAGGGTTTAGGGTTTAGGGTTTAGGGTTTAGGGTTTAGGGTTTAGGGTTTAGGGTTTAGGGTTTAGGGTTTAGGGACAGAGTTTAGGGTTTAGGGTGGTTTCTTTCACTCTAAGCCCTAAGCAGGGTTGCTTTTTTGTGAAGGGAGCTGTCTCATTGTTTTTCATAAACCCTATCAGTGAGCATTTCGGGCAGAGACACCCTGCACGGTACTCTCTTAGCCCTAAAACCAAAGTCCTGAACCCTGAAACCCTAAACCCAATAATCGCTCCGAAGCAGCGTCGTTTCGCCATGGCCTTTGTGAAACCTTGTCGTTTAGGATGCGAGCTCCGTAGTATCGGGGCCGCTCCCAATATACCACCCAAAACTTTTTACTTGAAGGTTCAAGGGTAGTTACAAGTAAGAAATATAAGTACCCTAATCAGGGGTATGGAATAGGATACTTCACGTAGAATCCTATATATCGCTACCATGAACCTTCAAGAATCTCTAAACCCTAAACCCTGAACCCTAAACCCTAAACCCTAAACCCTAAACCCTAAACCCTAAACCCTACACCCTAAACCCTAAACCCTAAACCCTAAACCTCCAAGTCGAGTTTGCAAGGGATTAGGGCCAGTAGAAGCCTGTGCCGCGCGACCCCGTTCGGCCAAGGGAAATGGCATTGACATATCCTTGGGTGGACTACGCGAGACAGCGCGACCCTGCCACCATAAGGGTCCATGTGAGGGAGGGTTTAGGGTTTAGGGTTTAGGGTTTAGGGTTTAGGGTTTAGTGTTTAGGCTTCAGAAGGATGGAGCCCGTTGATCCTTTTGTGAAGGCTTCTCAAGGGTTTAGGGTTAGAGCTTAGGGTTCAGGGCTTAGGGTTCGGGCTTAGGGTTTAGGGTTTCTTGTTTGTAAACCGTAAGCCCCAAACCCTTGCACTGTCTTCCGCCTTCCCTGGTTCATGAGGCCTGTGTCAGCCTTGCAGAGGATAATCCAGGGGTTGAGGGTGGTGCTTGAGAAGGCTCGCGGGTAGTTATCAGTAGGGTTCTAAGTGCCCTACGTAAATTGAGGTTATAGTAGAGGTTACCTTACTTTATATTTCCTTACGTTACCCTAAACCCTAAACCCTAAACCCTCAACAACCCTACTTGTAACTACCTGTGAACAGTCAAGTAGGGCTCCTTTCGAGTCCAAGACGGGAAGCTTGGCTTTAGGACTCCGAAGGCTCGCAAAGACCCACCTCGCAGGTTCATGGGTAGCCATAAGTAGGGTTGTTTAGGGTTTAGGGTTTAGGGTTTAGGGTTTAGGGTTTAGGGTTTAGGGTTTAGGGTTTAGGGTTTAGGGTTTAGGGTTTAAGGCAACCTCCTGGACAAGCCCTCCCTGGCCTCGATCTTCAAATGGGTCAGCTTCCAGACTCCCGGCGCTTCAAACGGTGCAGGGTTTAGGGTTTAGGGTTTAGGGTTTAGGGTTTCGGGTTTAGGGTTTAAGGTTTAGGGTTTAGGGTTTAAGGCCTCTCCCGGCGCTTCAAGCTTGTGATTGGAAGGTTGTTCGGGGTTTAGGGTGTAGGGTTTGGAGTTGAGGGCTTGGGGCTTAGGGTTTAGGGTTTGGGGTTTAAGTGTTTAGGGTTTAGGGTTTAGCTTTTGGGGTTTTGATTTGCAGTACTTGTAGGTTCTTGGGTTTTGGGCGGCTTCAACGAGCCACCGCCGCCCATTAAACCAAACAGAGTGCCTTTTGTTCATTTAGGGTTTAGGGTTTAGGGTTTAGGGTTTAGGGTTAGTTTCAAGTCCCTACTGCACCCTTTCTTGCAGCCCTAACGCTCTGGGGATTGTCGCAGAGCTTCTACCTCATAGAAGCTCCAGGCTTAAGGGTTTACACCCATGAGGAAATTTCGGGCTGTGCAGTAGCATCTTTTTTTGTTTACTCCGTTGGCTTCTGGGTTTATGCTGTACTCAGACGAGCTCAGAAAGTATGCGGCGAGTTCTCTATTTTAGGTAAGGGACCAGAATTGAGATAATTGCCTTTAATTGCCCATATGCCCATATGCCCCCAAACCCTAAACCCTAAACCCTAAAAGGAAGCCGTAAGGCTAAGGGGCTCTGGGCTAAGGGGTATGTTGAGTTGTTTTTGGCAGCTACTCTTCCAGCCAGCTCTAGCTCCCCCGAGTCGTTCACAGAGCCTGTAGGGTTTAGGGTTTAGGGTTTAGGGTTTAGGGTTTAGGGTTTAGGGTTTAGGGTTTAGGGTTTAGGGTTTAGGGTTTAGGGTTTAGGGTTTCTGAAGTTTCAAGGTTAGGTTCTGTAGGCCCGAGGCCCTGGACGAAGGCGGACGAAGGCCAAGAACTCTGCGAGCCCTAGATGCCCAGAAAGCCTCAGAAGCCCTTCAACTTACTGCCCTAAACCCTAAGCCCTAAGCCCTAAACCCTAAACCCTAAACCATGCTTCTTAGTAGGGTATACTGTAATCCCTCTAGATGCCTTCAAGCACATACTTTTTAACAAAAGCCCTACTAAGAACTACGTAGTAAGCAATAAAGGATGGCCATAGCAGCCCTAAGCCTTATAAGCCCTGAAGCGACAAGCTTAGGGTTTAGGGTTTAGGGTTTAGGGTTTAGGGTTTAGGGGAGTCACAGTCCCTGAGGCACTACTACGCGAACGATGACGCGAGCGAGGACAGCGTCGCTGGTGACGAATACGAGGTCACACGGCCTGTTAGGCTTGCAGTAAACTCCAAGAAGTTTGAACGTCCCCATCCCCATACACCGAAAGGTATGCTAAAGGGACTCCGAGCCCGAGTCATCCTTAAACCATGCTCCAAGTTTCTGGAGTTCTTTTTTGGGGTTCAGGGTTTAGGGCTGTGTGCGGACCCGAAAGCCCAAGCCCCAAATCCTAAGACTTCACCCCTCAACTGCTCGAAACTGTCAACCCAAAATACTAACAATAAGGGTCGGAACAATTACTAAGAGCATTTTAGGGTTCAGGGCTTGGGGTCCCTGAGCCCTGAAGCCCTAAACCCTGAACCCCAAACGCTAAACCCTAAACCCTAAACCCTAAACCCTAAACCCTAAACCCTAAACCCTAAACCCTAAACCCTAAACCCTAAACCCTAAACCCTAAACCCTAAACCCTAAACCCTAAACCCTAAACCCTAGCCCTAAACCCTAAACCCCAAACTCCAAGGAGGGTTTGGAGAGCGAGTCCGACTTCGACGCAGAGAGCGGCGATGAGTCTGAGGAGCTCTCGGCACTTCGGCTCAGGATTTGAGGGTTTTTAGGGTTTGGGGTTTAGGGTTAGGGTTTAGGGTTTAGGGTTTAGGGTTTAGGGTTTAGGGTTTAGGGTTTAGGGTTTAGGGTTTAGGGTTTAGGGTTTAGGGTTTAGGGCTTCGGGTTAGGGTTTAGGGTTTAGGGTCTAGGGTTTCGGGTTCTAGGGTTTTCGGGTTTCGGGTTTAGGGTTTAGGGTTTGGGGTTTAGGGGTTTTAGGGTTTGGGTTAGGGTTTAGGGTTTGGGTTTAGGGTTTAGGGGTGGGTTTAGGGTTTAGTAGGGTTTAGGTTTCGGGTTTGGTTTAGGGTTCAGTGGGTTTGGGGGTTTGGGTTTGGGGTTTGGGGCTTGGGCTTGGGTTTGGGGTTGGGGGTAGGGTTTAGGGTTTGGGGTTTAGGGTTTGGGGTTTAGGGTGTAGGGTTTGGGGTTTGGGGTTCAGGGTTTGGGGTTTAGGGTTTAGGGCTAGGGTTCAGGGTTTGGGGTTTCGGGTTTGGGGTTTAGGGTTTAGGGTTTAGGGTTAAAGGTTTAGGGTTTAGGGTTTAGGGTTTAGGGTTTAGGGGTTGGGTTTGGGGTTTTCGGTTTGGGGTTCAGGGTTTAGGGTTCAGGGTTTGGTGTTTCGGGTTTGGGGTTTAGGGTTTGGGGTTTGGGGTTTAGGGTTTGGGGTTTAGGGTGTAGGGTTTGGGGTTTAGGGTGTGGGTTTTAGGGTTTGGGTTTGGGGCTTGGGGGCTTGGGGTTTATGTAGGGGTGGGGGTTTAGGGTTTAGGGTTTGGGGTTAGGGTTTAGGATTTGGGGTTTGGGGCTTTCGGGTTGGGGTTTAGGGGTTGTAGGTTTGGGTTTAGGGTTTGGGCTTTCCGGGTTGGGGTTTAGGGTTTAGGGTTTGGGTTTGGGGTTTAGGGTTTAGGGTTTGGGGTTTAGGGTTGAGGGTTTCGGGTTTAGGGTTTGGGTTTTAGGGTTTAGGGTTTGGGTTTAGGGTTTAGGGTTTGGGGTTTAGGGTTGAGGGTTTCGGGTTTGAGCGTTTAGGGGTGTCGGTTGTTTGGGTTTTGCATCTTCGCTTTGGGGTCTGGGGTTTAGGGTTCAGGGTCTGGGGTCTAGGGTGTAGGGGTGCTTCGTATCTTAGTATTGTATTTAGGTATTCTTAGGTCTTTTCGTAACCCTCAACCCCAAACCCCAAACCCCAAACCCCAAACCCCAAACCCCAAACCCTAAACCCTAAACCCTATTGAGGGTTTGCTTTGGGGGGCCTTTTCTAGACAAACAAGCTCCCGTCAGCCTCGACTCCCTCGATTTGAGGTTGTGAAACAGGGAACCCGTCACTTTCAGCTGCCGTAGTAAGAAATCCGGGCTTCGGGTTTTGGAGTTGGGGGTTTAGGTGTGGAGCTGCGCGTGCTCAGGGCAGGGTTTAGGGTTTAGGGTTTAGGGTTTGGGGTTTGGGGTTTAGGGTTTAGGGTTTAGGGTTTAGGTTTAGGGTTTAGGGTGTAGGGTTTAGGGTTTAGGGTTACGGTTTCGGGTTTGGGGTCAAGGGGTTTGCATGTCAAAGCCCTAGACCGTGGCGATGGGTTGGCAAGACCTTTTTGGACTGGAGTCGTCGTCCTTAGAGTTTAGGGCCCGCTGCCTTAAAACCTAATCCCGAAGCCCTAAACCCTTTATGGTTTCAGATGGGGCCTCAACAAGCGCAGGGTTTAGAGTAAACCCTAAACCCTAAACCCAAAACCCTAAACCCCAAGCCCTAAACCCTAAACCCTATTAAAGCCCCAAGCCATCCCTAAGCCCCTCAAATTTTAACTTCTGGAGCTGAAACGGCTACGTAATCATTATGTGACCTTGTCCTAGGTAGGCCTTTAGGGTTTAGGCTTTAGGGTTTAGGGTTTAGGGTTTTTTTTTGTTTCCCTCACTGGGTGTAGGAGGCTAGTATCTAGGAGTGATTCTCAGAGGGTTTTCAAGGGCCATCCTAGCGTCGGAAGCCCCCCTCTTCCGGCTCTTACCTCGCGCGCTGAGCATTCCGAATCCCCAAACCCTGAACCCTAAACCCTACACAGACCTGAACCTGAAAGTTTTTTGGCAAGCCCTAAACCCTAAACCCCAAGCCCTAAACCCGAAACCCTAAACCCTAAACCCCAAACCCGAGGTGATCGGGACGACGACCGGGGCCTCCACGCGCGTGCCGGATGGCGGGTTCTTCCGCAAGGCCCTTCCAGTGTTGAGAGTGTTTTAGGGTTTAGGGTTTAGGGCTTAAGGTTTAGGGTTTAGGGTTTAGGGTTTAGGGTTTAGGGTTCTGAGTTTAGGGTTCAGGGTTTAGCAGCCAGCCAGTAGCGACGAGCTGCCGTGGCGTTGTAGATCCCAGATCAATCGCGTATGCGTGGCGGTGTGGGATGTATTACTGTATGGTGGAGAGTGGAGTGTGGTCGACTATTTTCTTAAGAACCTGATCCCTATATTACCCTTAATAAAGAAGAACATTTTTAGTTTTTCGGGGTTCTTAAGCAATTAGTAGCGGTGGTTGTGGCGCGGGTGTGGTGTGGAGTGTGGATGTGTGTGGTGAAGTGTGGTGTGTGGAGGTGCTGGTGGCAGTGCTAGTGGTGGTAGTGGCGT